ATATATATATATATATAAGAAAAAAATTTAAGGTCTTATAACCCATATATTTGAAAATTACAAATAAGCCTTCAACAAATAATACTGGGCATGAATCTCGAAACATAACATGGAGCTTGAGATAAAATTTTTTAGCAAGAGATGTTCAAACTTTGATTCAGTCATCCAGAGCACCGATTTGAGAAAACTTATAGTCGAATTGACGGTCTCAACGAGACGGACCCAACGATACAAAAATCAACCAAATCCGACATAAATCAAGACTAGATCAAGTCATTTAACCACTTTTAGAAGTTTTTTAGACATAATTGGAAGGTCAAATGAATGTTGAATATGACAAACTTATATTTAAATCAAGTGTCCCAGCAAGAAGAATCCAACAAACTTAAGTTCGCTCTGTTTTGATATCATTAAACATTAAGGCGGTCAAATATTCATCAAATGGATCTCTCTGGGTCGTCCGATCAAGAGTGTTTTGGATTCCTTCGACATTTGTAATTTGGAGCCTATAAGTAGAACCCCAAACCCCTCATGAAAGGGGACCTAGACCCAGAGCCAGAGAAAGAGCAGAGCCTGCATAAGAGGGAGCTACAACCCTGCCTCGTGCATCTTCATTTCAAGCCGCCGCCGCCTTTCGGCTATCACTGCCTTCCCAGACCATTGTCGCCGCCTTCTGAAGAACTCTTTTGGTCGCACTATCGCCACCTCTTCAGGCCACCGGCACCCTGACCAACTCTGGGGCAACGACACACCCTGATAACAATATAATATCGCACTCCAAATGCGTTGTAACGACACCTAAATATTATGTGACAACGCATCCCAAAGATGATGAATTTTCGTGAATTCCTAAAGCTCTCTCATTGCAACTCCCGACCTTGGCCCTCGCTGCTTACGAACGTCATCACAACACACCACTATGACCTATGTGCCAACAACGACTTACATGGTTCCTAGCTCATGGTGCTCTCAACTCCGGACCCAATGACCTACGGACATCGTCATAGCTCACCACTACGACCTATGTGACCAATTCTATTTCTCTCTCTCTCTCTCTCTCTCTCTCTCTCTCTCCCAATGCTCTATTACTTATGTGTGATTCACAGATAAATAAAAATCCAATACTTTGAGTGTGAGAAAGAAAATATTCTTAAATGTTGGTTTTAGAATATCATTTTTCTTATATTTTGAGCATTGGACTTTTAGGAAATCATTATTGGAGTGATTGGAATTAAACTATTTTAATGTTTTCTTATCCCTCAATTATTCCAAGATCAATTGTGTTACCTTTGATGGCAACTCATATTCCTCTTTGTTGTTTTTTTATAGAGATTGTTATGAAGCTACATTAAGCATTTACAGACGATAATGAAAATTTTTTATTTGATAATAACGAAAATTTCTATAATTTTAAAGCCAAGAGTTTTTATTTCAAATCGTACTTGGTGTTGACTAGAATTGATTTATATGGTTCAAAAGATTTTCAACAAAAAACACTCATCTGTTGGATGGCTAATATTGAGGAGCTCAAAACATTGGATTCTTATGCTACTTTTAACATTAATAGTACCTACCTACCCACTTTATATAACATTGATATAAAAAATCATTCCCATTTAGTGTCTTACATTTAGATGTTTCATTATATAAACACCCTTCTCATATACCCTTCTTTTTCCTTAAACTATATCACCTCATTAAATCTTTTTTGCACTTGTACATATAAAAATATGTTCGCACAAATCTCAAGGCAGATGAATGGCTCAAGAAGATGATACTGACGATCAGACATATTTGTTGACGATTGTCTTGAACTAGATGTTGAAGGGAGACGTCTTGTTCGAGCGATCGGTAGAACATGCGAGGAGATTTTCGCAGGACGGGGATCAACCCTCAAAGACAATCGATAGGGTTCTCTTTTTCGGATTAGATATCGATCAAGCCAAGGCTCACTTGAAGGTTGACAAACAATTATCGATCGAATCGGTCCCTCGGTCTTATTGTATGCTAATAACTTTATAATTATCAAAATGTCGCTCTAAAAAGATAATGATGAGGGAACCAATACGTACTTTGATAATACTGAGATCTATGTGAATAAATAGGAAGTTTATATCATGAATAAAGACCATACTCTCTTTTACACTTCTCTATTAGTTGAGACTTGAGAGCCCTCATTTTTCCCAAAAATAAGGAAAGAAAAGAAAAATGCACCCCAACTACTAGTAGATAAGGAGGAGAACAAATGATATCTCGGTTTTATTTTCGTTTCTACATCTTGTGTCCGCTCACCCGCGGGATATCGTCTCTAGAAAAACCACGTGCTTCCCCTTCTAGAAGGTGTAGGTGACGTGTCACCTCACAGGTTTCCCCCGCGGGCATAGGCTTATATAAAGTATAGCTTACCCTAATCGACGGAATCCGAAATCAAGTATTCCAAGCCTGTCTTCCGTAATCGAATCCGAGTTCCGATGTCTGCGATTGCAAGCTTAGTGGGATTACCCTCCGTGGCTTTCAGAAAGCCGTCGCGGAGGAGGGCGGTGGCGGCAATGGCTTCTCCGGCGGCGGAGACGACGGCGAAAACGATTGGGAGAGGGCTTTACGGCGTGCTGGGTTTGAGAGAAGCGGCGAGCATGGGAGAGATAAAAGCGGCGTACCGATCACTGGCGAAGAGATTCCATCCTGATGTGGCCGGCGGTGGGAACGATGGAAGGTTTTTGGAGATCCAGCGGGCGTACGCGACGCTATCGGATTCGGAGGAGAAGGAGCGGTATGATCTATCGATTGGGCGGTTCAGATTGGTGATTCAGCGGGATGAGAGATTTCGGAGGTCGCGGAGGTGGGAGACTGATCAGTGCTGGTAGAAAACTTTCGGAATTCGATCGATCGGATTTGTTGCGAGAGCGATTGGGATTTCTTTGTAATCTGTAAATAGGAGAGGAGATCTGGTAGCTTAGCGGCTGGGATTTGGGAAAATCGATTGAACCTTGAATTAGGTATTTTCGTTTCCGATACTTTTCGATTGTCGAGGATTGATGCATATATGCATCTTTTAAAGGGAAGAGTAAATTGAAAATTGTATTGGTGTTCTAACGAAACCAGAAATAGATAATTTTGTCGGAGAATCACTAGACCGATGCTTGCTTTTTTGTCATTTTAAGCTTTATTTGCGAAATTTTTTCGCGTGCCACCATAGCGCACCAACTATCGATCCTTCCCACCCCCCCCCAATTATTTTTTTTTTTTTTTTTTTTTTTTTGTTCGCTCAACAGTCATTCGTGCAAGAGAAATTTTTTCATATGGGTGACTCCAGTAATCTGACGGAGGGCTCAAATTGAAGTGACACCGCGCGGAGGTTATTAATGAAGTGGAATCTTAGAAATTATTTGGGAGGGTTATTTGGCTTTTGTTATTGGGCATTAAGGGTCTGTTTGGGGCAGCTGCAGCTTATCCGGCTTATCTAGATAAGTTGTATCTGATTTTCCCTGTTTTATTGCATGTTGCGGTTTCACTCTCTTTAGGCTGTCAAGGAGGTGTTCGACATTTACTGTTTCTTCCTACTCTGCAATCCAATTCTTGGTTTTCTTCAAGTGTTCGACGGTCCAGTTCTGGGTTTTTCTTGAGGAGCTAAGCCGTCCTATTTTTTTTTCAACAGGTGGACTAAACGATTTAGAGTCATTTAACAAAATAAAAATTGAAAATATTTAAAAAAAGAAGTTAATTTGAGATACATTAAATGATTAAAACTCTTAATTCATTTTTCATTGATTTGAAAATATAAGTTGAGAAGAACTATAATAAATTTTTATGAGATATTATGGGTCCTATAAAAAATTATTAGAATTTTGTCATCCCTTATTCATGACAAATGTACCATATTTTACCCACTTATGATGATAAAGCAAATGCCACCCTAAACACAAAACCTGATCAAACAAATCAGTCCAATATTTGGTTGGGCAATCAACCGACCATTCATTGTAGTAGTGTCACGATTACTCTATTTAAGACAATATTCAGTCGAAGAATTAAAAATATTATATTTAAGGTATTGATGCAGTTAATCCAATATGATTGATCAAAATAAATTTTGAAGGTCAAATTAACATTAATAGTTTTAATGAGATTTAATATTTAAATTTTAGTTGCTTGAAAATGAAGTTAAAAATTCTATTTAACATCATGACAATTCGTTGTGCGGAAAAATGCCCCTTGTTTCCAAATGTTTTAATAAATGTCCAAAAGTATTTTCTCCTCTCAAAACACTAATAAGGGTCCTCACTTTTCAGGTGCAGCAAAAATGATGTAAAATGAACTCTTAGGAAGTCTAAAAAATATATACAACATCAATCTTGTTGAATCATAACATCATAAACCAGGAAGCAATTTACAAGTCATATGCATGCAAAAGCAATTTTCATCAAAAGCTTAAGATACTGCAGTTAACAGAAGCGCTTCTCTGAATAAATTTACTATGGTAAAGTAATCCGATGTATTCCAAAGAATGCACTCCACTAAAATCCAACGCTGTACAGTATCACTGTGTTGACCTTTATCCACCTATTTCATACACACATGAAACAAATGACTGTAGATCTACCTAAGCAGCAAGAATTTCTTGAAATATTTCAGCAATAAGCTCCCTATCTGCACTCTGAAGAAACAAATTAAAATCATCATAAATCTCAAAAATCTTCCCAAAGTCACCAGATCCCTCAAGCACCCGCTCTTAAGCCTTATAAGTCCGTAAAGATGAGCCATCTGAAGCCTCTCAAGCACGTTCTTAACGTCAATATCTTCCAAGAGACTATCATGGCAAACCTCCTTGAGGTCAGAGATGTCATACTTATCTGCAGCTTTGAGAAGAGCTAAGCGGTGGGTTAGGAATTCGTCGGCTCGGAAGTTTCCATAGAGGTAATTGAGAAAGGCTTCACATTCCTGAAAAGACATGTCAGGGATGTTTACAATGGAATGTTCCTTCTCTTGGAGATTGTGGGAGAACATGCTGAGGAAAACAGGGGACCTTGTGGCCAGCACAGCCCTGTGCGCACCAATGCTTCCGCTGCTAGAGTTGATGGTAATGTCGGTACGAACGCTCTCGGTTAGCATCCGGATGAGAGAGCTTAGAGCTGTGGAGACGGAATGGTTTTTGTAGTAGCAGCCGGACCAGATGGATGAGGGTTCTCTGCCCTGTGTATCAAAACCATTTGTTGGAGCATTAGATATGAGAGTTTTACATTCTTAAAAAGTATCCCAACAGAGAAAAAATGAATAACAATGTATTTCCAAAATTTTGAAGGCAATCTTAAGCTCCCTTATCACATTCTTGCTAATTTAACATAGGGAGGGTTTAGGGTGAGAATAAACCTGGCAGCTCGTAATTTACTTGGAGATAAATACATGATGGTTAAAGCTCTAAATAGGAGACACAAGCTACAAGTTTATGCAGGTTATGGAAGCACAAATTGTACCCACATGTTTGTCGAGTTAAGGTCAACATGAGTGTTTGAATGTGGCTCAACAAGTCACGGGCAATAAAATAATATCGTAATTGGCCAAAGACATAAGTCACGTAGGAGATAGATCTTCGAAGCTCATTTATTTATTTCTCTAAGAAGGATACAAATTTATCTAGAATACTCATCAAGCCGACTAGAGTTTCTTTCAAAAAAAAAATTAACAATCTTGCTCTCACTATGGGAGTTAGTGACATCATGCTTAATCATTCACTTTTCTTATAATTCTATCATGTAATCCTTCATGTACTGCCAACCTTTCCCTAAACTGTAAATGAAGACTCATGGATCGAGCCCTTAAGATGGTTTCACACACTACCTAGCCCTTTTTTTGGGGGTTAAGTGGGGAAACACAAATCAATTAACATCATCTATGAATCTATTTATGGGAATAAAAGTTTTAATGTATTATATGATATTAAATAGTTAAGTAAGAATGGGTGGCGAGTGCCTCTCCAGACAAAACCTTGGTACCACAGCTAGTGGCATGTACTATAAGTATTTATTGGAAAACACAATATATGATGTGTCATATACCGATAAAATACGCAGAAACTCTGATACATTGTGCCTCGCAACTTGTTACCCCTTGTGTGTTTTTATGAGGACGACTCAACCATTATCAAGCTCACAGAATATATCATGAGAAAATTTGTTTTTTCTACTTAGAGTACGTAGCAATTCATAACTTTTTGAGTCAGGTTAAAGAGGATAAATTACTCTGATAAAAATAAAATTTTCCTTACAGGTTGGGTCACAATTTTAAGATCTAGGAACTCCACATCAATGATGAACTTTCCCACAAAGGTTGTGTCGATTGCCCAAATAAAATCGTCATTGTTCTTTAGCTGTTTGTCACAAACTCCTGCGCAAAAATGGCTTAGATTCAGCTCTCATCAGAAATTTTTCATATTCATGGTTCCAATGCCGCAATAATAAAAGCGAAATGGCTGAACAAAGGGGGACCTGAATGAACAAGGGTTTTGCGATTAGGAGCAGAGCAGGACACAAGTTTGATGATGAAGGAGGTAATTGGTGGCTGCTCCCTGGTTACACTCGATGCTTCAGGGTATAACTTCACAAATAATTGTTTATTTCCTCTACAGTCAGGTACCTAATTGTGTTTCAGATCATCAAATTCCAAAAGCAGATTAATAATTCATCGATTAAACAAAGATGAAAACGAACTGAAAGCCCTGTTACAGTTAAAATCGGATCGACAGAGAGAGAACGCACCAGTTCCAGAGGCCGATCTTGAAGGGATCAGACTTGCGATAGGTACAAGACGAAAGGGCTTCGATCCGCCATTGAGCGAGCCGAGAAGTTGTATCGACTCTGAACACCGATTCGCTCATCTCCGCCGACGATGATGAAGCAGCCGCCGCCGCAATCGCTGCCGTGACCCCATTTATGCAATCCAAGATCCCCGACAGCCCGCCTGCCTTTTCCAGCTTGGATTCTGTTTCACTTTCCTTCTCTTCATGAACACCAAACCATCAACAAGAATTAATCCCAAAGAAATCTCAAATCTACAGCAATTCCTTTCGTTCGGCAGAAGAGGATTTAAAAGATGCATGATTCATTGACGAGTCCTGCACGCAAATGCGCGAGAATTGCTTCCGTGAAGGTGAAGAAGCAACGGCTCTCTAAAATTAAATTAAAAAAAAAGGTTTGATGTCAAACTTTTGTTTGCTTTGAGTCGACTCCAAGGATGATTGGTTGTGGAATATGAGCCGTTCATGCGACGCTTCTATTTCATGGCGGCGTTGTTTTTCCATCTGCTTCTCTACATTATTGGCAGAGCAGTCTTTTTTTAAGATCATAAGTCCCCTCTCGTGACGAAGTTGAATTCTCTTATGATCATTTTCGATAGTGAGAGCAGTCCTTGAATACTTAGACACATGAAATTGATTGAGAGTTCGTATAATAACCTTCCATCATTATTTTATAAACAAATAAAAATAAATGTCTTTTTTTAAGATCATAAGTCCCCTCTCGTGACGAAACGAAGTTGAATTCTCTTATGATCAGTTTCGGTAGTGAGAGCAGTCCTTGAATACTTAGACACATGCAGTTGATCGAGAGTTCGTATAATAACCTTCGATCATTATTTTATAAACAAATAAAAATAAATGTATGCATTATGTCAATTTTAAGAGAAAATATTATGTGTTGTGTGCTCTTATACATGAACAAAAATTAAACTGGGTTGCATTGGCACAAATTTGTTTTTCTGTTTTTGAAGGCCAGTGACCTAGCCCTTGTAAATGATTTTGCATGATTTTTTATTGTGCAAAATTACGATAAATTAAATGGAGAATTAATTTGAAAGATCAGTTAAGATTTAATTTTTAAAAGATAAATCAATTTGATTGGACAAAATTAAGATGATTTTGTGAGCTTACTCATAGAAATATGAACATCCCTAAGGCAAAATTTTGAGCATGAGGATAATATAATTCAAACAATATGTTCATATAAAATAGTTCCATGAATAATAAAATTATATTACATAGACAATTGGTGACGTCTTTATTGAAATAAAACATTTAAAATAGCTAAAAGAAAGTATCTTCGCATGTGTTAGCATGTATGATATCAGTCCTTGATGTGGAGTCAACTGAGGATCAGCAGGTCATTCTCATAGATGATGTTCTATCACAGCCATATTTGTGGCCTCCCCTTCACTATGCTTTCAT